ACACAACACTTTGAAAAGGCAGAAAACTATTTGCTAGTTCGGAGTTCGGACTGACTAGTGGGTAACATCTACGTGGCGGGATAATCTACTACGTGGCATAGTCTAGACTCCAAGTAGAGCAGTTTCGGTGCTTTCACCGGTACTTTAGCACCAGCCGCGTCCTTGAAAATTCACGGAGTGGGAGTGGAGTCGGTAGACAAATTGTCGACTATTCCAAACCCCAGAAAAAAAGACACAGCACCGAGGGTGGGATTGATCATGTTCCTTCTCAAGGTTCTCTTCTTATAATCCTTTAAACTTCAACTCCTTTTTGTTTTTATTTAATTCTTTTGAAAAATCCTGACCCCATGGGATGATTTGGTTTTGTGATTCTCCCGACAGGCATGGAGAGCAACTGCTTTTGGTGTTTATGGGTACCTCAATTTCACCAAAAATGGTTTCATGTAAGAATGTCATGGTTCCCATCTTTACTTTTCTCTTGATGGTTGAAATGGTTATCTATTATGAAAGAATAGGATAAATTTGGGTTGTTTTTGCCTTCCAATTGAGTGGCATAAATTTGGGTCATTTTAGCGTTTTTGGAGGTTGATAGAAATCAGAAAGCTTTGTAAAGAGATAATGTTAGAAGCTCAAATTTTGACAAGATGGTCTCTTCCCATCTCCATGTTTTTGTCATTTTCTTTGATTTTTAGGGAGCACTCAAAGAAATTCCGACCTGAAGACATGGAAATATCAATTGAGGGGAAGAATTGCATGGTTACGGGAGCAAATTCTGGAATTGGTTATGCAACTGCTGAGGGCCTTGCGTCGCGGTAACATGTTGTGATTTTTTGTTTCATTTATTAGAGATGAGTTTTTAGAGGAAATTTTGGATGAGAATGAATTGTGTTTTGGTATTGTTAATGGTGATTTTCCTCCCAGAGGGGCAACTGTGTATATGGTTTGTCGTAACAAGGAGAAGGGAGAAGCTGCTCTTTCTAAAATTCAGTCTTCAACAGGCAATTCAAATGTTCATTTGGAGGTACTTGCCAGTTTCCATCCTTTCTTTTTATTGATTTGGTCATCTTGTATTATAAGTTTATTTCTCTGAGTTGAACTTTGGGGGATCAAGACCTGATCAGCTTCCGGTAAGCTACAAGTTTCCACTGCACTTGAATCTCCAATGGCTTACTTAATTTAGCTTGCAGGTTTGTGATCTTTCATCTGTCAGTGAGATCAAGTCTTTTGCAACTAGATTCTCTTCAAAAGACGTGCCAGTCCATGTTCTTGTAAGTTCATTGCTTCTTTATCTATAATATGCTTTCTCCTGCAAATTGTATATATTCCTGCTTCATGCTTGATATATAATTTTACAGCCAAACACTCTTGCAGATAGTTACCATCCCTTAAGATTTTCATTTTTTTTAGAGATGCATAAGATTTCATATTTGTTTGTCTTCACAGAAATGCACAGTTTTTCTTTCATTCTTGAAATGTTTTACTCTTCTTATTAGATTGAAAGGTTGAACTGGATTTGGACAGGTCCTTATTTTCTTGCAATATATAATTCAATAGAATTATAAAATCCTTCAAAAAATATTCATGTTTCCACACAATTATTTTGGAAACTGATAAAAACCTTTGTTTTTTTGTCTGTAGATCAACAATGCTGGATTGCTTGAGCAGAAACGAATAATTACATCTGAAGGGTGTGTGTTTCAATTCGTAATTGCTAGGAACCAAATTTAATTTGCTATTTTCCTTTTCTTCCCTTGGCAAAAACTATTTGAGAGAGTATAAGAGAGAAGGAGACTTTATGTGCTCACTGTGTCGTTGTCTCTTCAGATATGAGTTGAACTTTGCTGTAAATGTATTGGGAACTTATGCTATCACGGAATCAATGTTGCCTTTGCTTGAGAAAGCTGCACCGGATGCTCGAGTCATTACAGTTTCCTCTGGTGGAATGTATACCACTCCCTTGACCAATGATCTACAGGTAGAAGTATTTTTCTTGTTTGTCTTCTGAACTTCTGGGCACTGCCTTAATTTGATCACCTACCTGATGTTTGAGAAATCCCCATTGTTTGTCTTATTGCAGTTCAGTGATGAAAATTTTGATGGTGTGGAACAATATGCTAGAAACAAGCGAGTTCAGGTTAGTGAAATTTAGGACTTGTACCTTCTGGGGATGTGCATTCATTAAGGAATATATATTATATAATTCTTTTTTTTTTTCGTTGATTGGTTTGACAGAGTATTATACCATGAATTCATGTTCACTTGATGATAATAAAACTAAACTTGTATATCCTTTTTGCTGGTGACATAGTTATTCATAGCATGTCTAATTAGCATTCTAAACCCTAATCTTTCCTCAAATCTCAAGCCTCCTTTTCAACAGAACCATCCATCAGCTAATAACAGCTACATAAGTTCCTCCAATCCACAAGTTTTCTGCAATGTAATTTAATTTCTATGCCATAGTTATCAAACAAAGCACTGGCCCCTTGCATCAATAACAAAATCACCTCCATAAATCACAATGTAATATCATTGGAGATATTGTTCTCGTCCAGTTGCTACAATTTTAAACTACCAGAAATTTCAGAGGGGGGAGGCAACAGAACTTTATGGATTATAACTTGAATTCATCATCTTTTGTTTTAGAAAACATATTCAGTTTTCTATCTGATAAAGATGGAGTATTAAAGGTTTTGGAGGTGCATACCCCCAAAATGGGTTTTTCTTTCCTGAAACAGTACCTTTGATTTGACAAAGAAAGGTATATATCTCAGACCACTCTCTCTTGTTTATTAGGTAGCACTTACTGAAAAGTGGGCAGAGATGTACAAGAACAAAGGAATTGGGTTCTTCTCAATGCACCCAGGTTGGGCAGGGACACCAGGAGTGGCAAATAGTTTACCCAGTTTTGAGAAAAAGTGAGGGCATTTTCTCTTTTGAAAGCCTCTTAAATAATCACCTACTGTTGATTTCTCATGACAATAACTCTACTCTCCTTTTCTTTTAAATGCTTGTAGATTTTCTGGAAAACTTAGAACAAGTGAAGAAGGTGCAGACACGGTTATTTGGTTGGCTTTGCAGCCAAAAGAGAAGCTGGTCTCCGGTGCGTTCTACTTTGATAGAGCTGAAGCACCTAAACACCTTATGTTTGCAGGTACTAGACAGTCTCATACAATAATTGATTCCATTATGAACACGCTCCACTCAATGTTCACTAATGTCTAAAAGTTAGCTCTCGATAAGGCCAGACGTTGGATTTTGTTCTTGGAATTCTCTGGGTTTGAATGCTTGTGAAGATCATTATCAACTCTTCAATAGTCTATACCTATTTGCGCCATGATGTTTGGTCCTCAACCTAAAAGACTAGCATGTTAGATGAGCGTATTAGTCAGCTCCAAACTTCCAGTTACATATGGCCTTGGATTTCCCTCCTATCTGCCTATTTGGACTGGACCCGTATCCCTAATCAATAATCATCATGTCTACTCCCCTCGGACGGCTTTGACATGGTGGAAGTGCCTGTAAATATTGAATGTTCCTGTATATTTTTTTAATCTACTTAACCAAAGAAAGGGCAATGGTTATGGCTATCCAACAAATTGTTGGGACCACTCAAACTTCTAAATTTAGTTATTCGAACTATTGATCCTGTTCAGTTGTTAAAAATAGTTAAATAACTGTAATTGTTAGTTGATAAATAGCAAAATTACTGATTTTTTATTACTTAACAGATTACAATTAATTTCTACATTGATGTTTTCAAATACCATAATTAACTGTTTAAAAAAAAAAAGAAAAACTTTGGGTGTCACCAACAATTTGTTATAGCTTATAGAACCATAACAATCCCCAAAGAAAGGAACAGGTAACAGGAGAGGGGGAAATCAGTTTTCGTGAAATCAATGGTATCAGTCCATAAATTATCAAATTAACTATGGTATCAACAAAAACTTAACCAACTCGGTGCCTAGAGTAACTTCAAACCTCGACTGTTCTAAAGTAAGCATTCTAACGTCTGAAGTACCATTAAAAAAAAAAAAAAATCAATGGTCATTGCTACAAGAAGCATTATATATCTAGAGTGATCCAAGAGATCCAATCTGAGGAAATTATCTCTTCTAATAATGTCTATTTGAATGGTAATTCATAAAATGATCAAAGTGTATAAACATTCTTGGGGTGAATTCTCCGGCAAAGCATCATCTAGGAAGAAGATGAGCCTACTACTATACTGCCGTGACTGGTCAGTCATCGAAACATAATATGAAGAAAAACGCCCCAGGAAGATTGCAAAATCACCTTCCTGCTGCCTGAACCAAACCAAACATTTCTTCTCCTAGTCTATTCTGCAAAGTGAACAATGAAAATAGTGTCCCTACGTGTTCTTGACCACCACCAATAAATCACCCTCCACCTTGACCAAGTAAATATTCATTGCTTCCTTATGGATTGAAAGATTAAGTCTCACTGCTTTTGTTGCCATAAAAATCAATGGCGTAGAAGTCTCCCTCGTAGAGTATTGCATTGGAGCACCGTCCCACGAAGTTGTTTACTCTGATCCATGCAGAGTTCCCTGTTGTGCAGAATGAAAACTTGTGTCCATCCTTACCAGGACGGAGTTTGAGGACTTTGCAAATAGGATGGCGGGGCTGGTGAAGGTGATCACCTTCGTAATCTCCGACCTCTTGAATTCCGCTCCGTTCGGGTGATTTCCAGATTCATGAATTGTTTCTCTGGAGGGAGCTTGACGCTGACTCTGGTGATGGGATTCAAACAATGAATTGTACGTGTTTGATCATCTCTGGCAACTGTGAGCAGCCAGCCATAAGAAGATACACAGTGCCATCTTCCCTGGAGCTCCGGTGAGAAAATCCTGAGGGTGCGGTTGGTTAAGATATTGTAGATTCGACAGTGTTATTTCTTCCTGAGAAGCCTGCCTCTTACATTCCGGAAATTCTGCGGCAGAAGTAACATGATC